AGCAGAGCACAGAGCTTGGAATTTTCTGGAATTATGATCGGGTGACGTTCATTGTAACTGAGAGCTGCGTAAGCTAAACGTCCATTCACGCGCATAATTCCAGCTCGATCCACCATCGGATTCAGAGTCAGTAAAGGGCTTTTTTTGCTAATAGATTTCCCTGCATTTAATGAGCTGATTTCGTTGATATAGTACTGGCTTTGGGTCTGACCGATAATGCGTAGTTTGGCTTGATTTATTTCCTCGTGCGTTAAGGGGAGAGAAGTGGGTATCGGCTGTTTTCTCGCTGCGTTTATAAACCGATACATAAACGCGATTACTCGCAATGCTCGAGCAAAGGAGGAGAAACGCTCAAGTATGTCCACCGATTCAATCGTGTGCAGGGACTCAATACGTCGTTGTTCTGGGGGTGACGAATGTGGAGATGGGTTTTTTGGCCACGAAGTGGGGAGTTTTTGCAGCCATTCTGGGCCATTCCACCATAATGCGCATGTCGCGAGATCTTGGGGATGGCATCCGCGGGTACCTAGATCGGCAGGATTCTCTGCACCAGGTACATGCCGCCAAGTGGCATTGCTCACATTTTGGAGTATGAGCGAAATTCTATTGGCAACATAAGTTTTCCAAGTGTGTGGCGGTTTTTCTAACCACGCCAACACAATGGAAGAATCTGACCAGAGGTATAAATCATGAGCAGGCAAATCTAGTTGCGAGTGGAGTTGATTAACCAGCTTGGAGAGTAGGACGGCTCCACAGAGCTCAAGTCTGGGGAGGCTGACTGTTTGCAGGGGGGCTACCTTACTTTTAGCTGCGAGTATGTGTGACGAGAAGGAGTTTTCGTCAATTTGTACTCGGAGGTAGACACAGGCGCAATAAGCTTTTTCAGAGGCGTCTGAAAACCCGTGTACTTGTACACGATGAGTAGGGGAGAATTGCACCCAGCGGGGAATAACAATTTCATTAATAGCGGGGAGATTTTCGCGCAGAGTGTTCCATTTGTGGAAAGCGCTGGGTTTTACTTGCTCGTCCCAGTCAGTGCCTTCCATCCATAGTTGCTGAAGGAGCATTTTGGCGGAAATCATTATTGGCGTTAGCCATCCTGCCGGGTCAAACAATTTCGCTACCGCTGATAATATTTGCCGTTTTGTCCTCGAATTTGCAGCGGGAACGGGATCGTACGTGTAAGAGAAGGAGTCCGTTAGCGCGTTCCATTTTATGCCTAGAGTTTTAGTAGAGCTAGTGTCTTGAAACTGGAGAAAATCAACATCAAGGACCTCGGAATCTGGGACTGATTCCAGGATTTTTTGGGTGGTTTGAGGTGATTTTTCGTAGTGGAAAGCCTGCAGATTTTAGGGCGTCTTTAACTTGAGATAATGAGCTTATAGTGGACTGTATATTATGCCCGCCTGAGAGAATATCGTCCACGTATGTTTCGCGTAGGAGGATATTGCTGGCGAGCGGGAATTCGTCTTGACAATCCTGCGCTAACTGATGAAGCGTACGGATTGCAAGATAGGGAGCGCAATTGACGCCAAAGGTGACTGTTTTCAGCCTAAAATCTTCTATGGGCTTATTTGGAGACCTACGAAAGACGATTCTTTGGAAGTCTTGATCTTCCTCGTGGACAAGAATTTGGCGGTACATCTTTTCGATGTCGCCATTAAAAACAAACTTGTAGAGGCGCCATCGGAGAATGATGAGCATCAAGTCGTTTTGAAGGGTTGGGCCAGTGTGTAGTACGTCATTGAGGGAGTTTCCAGAGTGGGATATTCTGGAGGCATTGAAGACTACGCGTACTTTTGTTGTTTTGCTGTCGGGTTTTATGACAGCATGGTGCGGTAAATAAAAGGAGAAGTATTTACCGTCTTTGATGACTTCTTGGGATGAGGTGGGCTCCATATGGTCCATGGTGATGTATTCTTCCAGAACCTCTGAGTACTTTTTGCCAAGGTCGGGTTTTTTCTCCAGATTCCTTTCGATGCTGATGTACTGCTGCTGCGCTGCTAGTCGAGAGTGACCTAAAGCCATTGTGTCTGGAAATTCGGGTTTGACGGGTAATTTCACCGTATATCGTCCGTCTGCCTGCCGGGTTGTCGTGCGACGATACAGGTCCTCACAGAACTCCTCCTCACTGGAACGGGGTTGAGTGACTGCTACTTCCTCCTGTTCCCAAAACTTCTTCAGCAGTGAGTTTAGAGATTCATCCTGGGGTTCGGTTACCTGGGTGGTAAAGGTGGAGATTCTCTCCTGGATTGGGCCGCTCAGAATCCATCCAAATATCGTATTCTGCGCTATGAGACTTCCGCTTATGTTTTGTTGCAGCCCTTGTAGGAGAATTCGGGGGATTAGGTCACTGCCGATTACCATATCTATCTTATTTGGGGTGAAGCAGTTGGGATCGGCGAGCCTTAATCGTTTTATCTCTTCTAAATTAATATGAGAGATTTTTGCAGTAGGGAGGAAATGGGTCAACTGGGGCAAAATAATAGCTTGGGTCTTTATTCTATGGGCTCGATCTGTTGAGCAAAGTGTGATTTCACAGATTTTTTTTGAATTTTGTACCACCATTCCACCCATTCCAGAAATCTCGAATAGTGCGTCCGTCATAGGCAAACGCAAGAGTTTTTGTATCCGGGATGATACAAACGTTTTTTGCGAACCTTGATCCACCAGAGCACGAATATTTTGATATTCGCCATCACAGTAGATAGGTACTATCGCCGTTGGGAGAAGAGTTGTGACGTTGGTACTCGAAAAATGAGATGACACCTTATTTACGTCGTTTTTCTCGGGGGGTGGGTGCGTCACATATTTTGAGCAAGTCGGCCCTTCTGTATCTTTATTTGTCTGAGTAGCCAGTTGACTCGTTGTTCGTTGGGGCTTTGAATTGGGTTGGGGGGTCTGGGTCTTTTGCGGTAAGTGTAAAAGAGAGTGATGTTTTCGTTGACAGTATACACAAGTGAAATTACTTGTACACTCACTCTTTAAATGGGAGTAAGAAAGACAATTTTCACAATACTTGTTCTCTCTTACGAATCTTAAACGGTCAGATACGGATAGTGCTTTAAATTTCACACATGTCTTCATGGGGTGCCTTGAGTGGCAGAGTTTGCATGAAATCGGCTGATTTAGATCGACATGGAAATTCTGAGTTCTATTTTTATTTATAAATGTGGAATTGTGATTCCCCGTTCTTGGGGTGAAATTAGGGTGGGGAAGCTTTGGTTTTCCTGGCCGATATGTGTTAAGTCTTTCTACTACTTCATACCGGCTTGTGAGGAATTTGCTCATATCTGCCCAAAGTGGTAACTCTTTCCGTGAGCTGAGTGATTGCTCCCATAGAGATAGAGTTTCACTGGGCAGCTTTGAAGAGCATAAATATACAAGGATGGGGTCCCAATTGCTGGTCGGGATTCCTTGTGCTGAGAGGGTTGAGAGGCAATTGTTGATGGTGGATTGAATTTTCTGGATTTGCTCACCATTTTCTGAATATATGGGTGGGATGTTAAATAGAGTTTTTAATTGGTTGTCCACCAATATCCTACGGTTTTCATACCGTGACTTTAAGGCATCCCAGGCTAGTTCAAAATTGTCATCAGTGAGGGGGAACTGTTTCACTATTTGTCCGGCCTGGCTTCTTGTTTTTTGCCTTAAATGGTACAGTTTCTGGGCTGGTGTTAATTTGGGGTGATTTTTATAGACTGCCGTGAACATATCTCTGAACGCCGGCCAGTCTTCGTACCCACCGTGGAAAATTTCTGTATCACACGGTGGTACCTTGAGGAATACTTCTTGGGAGTTCGAAGTTGGGGTGGAATTTGTGGTGGGAATGGTGCTTGTTTGGGACTGGGAATTTGCCCCGAGAAGTTGTAAGCCGTCTAAAATTTGCATCTTACAGTTCTCATAACTTTCTGAGCACTTATTATATTTTTGCTCAATTGATCCGCTAGATTCAGCGAAGTGCTCAGAGCGGGATACTGCTCTATATGAGCTTATTAGAGCATCCCATAACTTGTCAAGTTGCTGTAACTTCACATTTAAAAGCGTTTGGGTGTGTTCGCTTATAAGGGTGCTGGACCATTTTGAATAAAATGACTCTAGCCTATTACTATCAAATATGAAGTCCTGAAGGCTTGAGTCAGAATCAATGGGAGATTTCTTTTCCATTTTGGGTTCTAAAGAGGTAATTGGGGGAATTCGGAGTAAACCGTGAGTGAAAGGGTGAAAAACGTAAAAATATTTTTATCTTGTCTTGAGATACCAAGTTTTACTCAGCAACTTCTTATTTTTCAATTTAAAATACTGATTTGCGCTACTTTTTAACGTTTGCTAAATTTTTTGTGTGGTGCTAATTTTATGAGCTCTACTGTATCTACCTTGGTGCTATTTTCTTGTCCTCTACTGTATATTGTCTCAGCGCGTCTGAGCCCAATAGTATATATGTACGTGTGTACGTATGTGTACGTATGTGTATTTGCTGGAGTTGCAAATTTTGGAAGCGCAAAAGGTGGTTGGAGAGCGAGCGAAGCGAAATAGATAAATATGCTAGCAGTACTATGTATACGTACGTAAGTAAATGGATATACCGTTTGTCTTTTCGGCTTTTGAATATGTACGTATGTATATATATATATTTATATGTAGGTATGTCGCAAATTTTGTAGCAGAATCGGATTTTTTTTCTTTTGACACTGGGGGAATCTCTATGGCATAAGTGGAAGAAGGAGACAAGAGACAAGCGATTTTAGTTCCTTTTCGGGTACCAAGAATTAAAAGCAAATTAATTGCAAACACAATTTCGTGTGTTATGCTTCTGGGTCGTGCGTATAAGTGAGTATGTACATATGTATGCCCGAAACAAGTGGTTTCAGAGTAATAGCGGGGAACTGAACAAACGGTGTACTGTATGTAGCTATGGAATTTTCTACTCCCGTATATATAAGTACATATGTAAGTCCGTGTATCGTACGGGACAAATGAGCTGATGTTTATATCTGGATTAGTAACTATTTTTTTCGCGCGCAACGCTAGAACTCACATATGTACATAATAATAATAGATTGGCGCTTACACATATGTTAGTGTTTGGCCGAGCTTCTCCTCCGACTTGTGGCGTGCGCCTTGATGTTGTCACACAAAGCGGAGGGACCTACAGTTTTACGCCGACTCCGAACGGCGATTGTATTTTTATGAGAAGCTGTTTTTCATGGCAGAAATACACTCGGAGGTTTGCCATTGCCTGCCGAGGGACGACCGCTGTTAAGAAAAAACCTTTTTCTATATTTTTTGGGATGTTGCTTTGACCAGGGCTTGAACCCAGGTGCTGATGTGTGAAAGCGCGCACTGCTTACCACTACACCACAGCGGCCGACGTACATACTATGTAGAAATTTCGGGACTTATTTGAATATGAGGGGGC